ATTTTTATTTGAAGAAAAACTGATGAACATTTTTCAAAATTTCCTAATCAAACAGCGATTATGAAAACGCACAAGGACCCTTAAGGATAACTGTTTGCACAACAGTGGGCGTCAAAATACTGCTGATGATGATTTACCTTTACAGCAAATGCTCAAACTGTTTTCCTTCAGCCGCAATATACGCTCGACATCTTCTTAAAAAAGATCGGGTTATTAAACGAGCGAATCCACAAACTCAGCTGCTTCCAATAGTCTTTGCCGTAGCTCAGCTACATTTTGATTCGGCTTGAAATACACTTTTTCTTTTACAGTTCCCCAGTAAAAAAAATCTAACGGATTCAAATCTGGTGACCGGGCTGGCCACGGTATTGTACCAGAGCGCCCTATCCATCTGCATGGAAAGTTTTGATCGAGATACTCTCTCACTGAGAGTGCATAGTGCGCTGGGCAGCCATCATGCTGAAACCACATGTCCCTGTAAATACTCAGTGGCGCGTCCTCCAATAAATTTTCTAAATGATTTTGCAAAAAGCCTAAATAAACCTCAGCAGTCAAAGTCTTTGGGAACTCAAACGGACCGATTATTTTACCATTTAAAATTCCTGTCCAATGGCTTATCTTGAAGCGATGTTGAGATTTATCTTCTCTCATCAAGTGTGGATTTGCTACGTGCCACTCGTGTAAGTTATGCAGGTTCATGTACCCATCTTTCTTAAATGTGGTCTCATCTGACCATAAAATTTTTTCAAAGAACCGTGGATCTTTCCTGTGTCTTTCTAACATTGTGCCACAAAAAGCAACGCGGGGCTCATAATCCCGGGGCAGGAGAGGTTGAACACGCTGTATGTGGTATGGATGAAGCACATCACTTACTTGCTATTGCACACTTTGATACCGATCAGTACTCCTTTGTGAGAATTAGCTGCTGTATGCGGAGGCGAGGTATTTCCTTATCCACCTTTTTAGAAGTAGTTAGTCGTAGGTATTAGGATTAATCTCTGAATGGCCTTGACATTTGGCTTTGGTAAACATGGCGGATATCATAGTCGTGCTCAGTTTGACATAGCTTATGTTTCAGTTTTATACTTTTATACGGGGTGACTTTGAAGTTGAGTCATTAATTTTCAGATAATGATTGTAGAAGGAAGATAAACCAAAATATGTGTGTAAAAATGAAAAAAAAATAAAAAAAAAAGTTTACCTTGTACCTAAAGTATCCTCCCGACAAGTATTTCAGTGCGGACCTGTATTTGATCGTGCGGTCTTGGAGCACCGGCACCTCCCCTCTGAGGTCTTAAGTCACCTGATTCACGAGCCCTTTGCACTACATTAACAAAGGCACGAGGGGTGGGTTGCACTCGATTGGGAAACCGATCCGCATAAATCCGTGATGCGGCGGCAGCAAGACTCCCCCCCCCCCGTAAATAAGAATCATGTCCACAAGTTCAGAATTTTCGTAAACATGTGCCATTTTGCCATTGACTGAATACAGCTGAATAAAATTGTAGTAAAAACATCGTGATAAGCGTTGCAAATTCTTTCGCTTTTTTGTTTCCGATGCGATGAACCGATAAGGCGGATTATATCCGTTGTCGCCAAACACGAGCACATAATATTATTATTGAGACAGGGCAGTACTCAAACTTCTAAAGTGCTATAACTTTGTTACTTTAATTTTACCACAAAAATGTTAAAGGAAAAAAAGATTTCTTTTGATCAGATCTACTCACTGTTAATGACTCAACTTCGAAGTATAGGTGATTTTTGGTGTCAACTCCTTTTGACGAGTCCTACAAGCAGTTAGAGTAAATAACTCAACTTTGAAAACCTTTAAAATGTACTTTGGCTCTCAACGAGAGAATAATAGAGTACTTTCATTTGATAGAAGTTCTAGTATTTCAGCTTGTAAAGTATATATGTATCTATCCCATTTAACGGTGGAACCTAGGTATACTCCCAGAAATTAAACATTGCGCGAAGATGTGATTTGTAGTTATTTAGTTTAGCTGTTTTGAAAAAAGCTGAAGCTTTACGTCTAAAGTTGATCATTTGGGTATACAGGGTGTAAAGTTAGTAGTGGATCAACGGAAGTCAGGTGACAAAGGGCCTCAAAACCTATCGAATAAACCCCTATATGTATGGTCCAAAATTTTATAGTTCAGGAGATACTTGCAATTTTGTGAAATTTCGAAAAAAAACGGGATAATGAACTTTCAATCGCAATTACAACTAAACCATTGGGTTTAGAGCTGTGATTTTTTTTTGGGATGAGCTAAATGGTTATTCTTAGCAACGGTTATGTCATTTTTGAGAGTTTATTAGAAATGAACGCAAAAAATCTTAAAAGCATTTTTTGTGAAAAAAAAATTCAGGTTGCATTTTATTATTCGTTTTATTGTAAAAAGTATTCCAGTCCATGTAGAATAAACCCTGAAAATTTCAGCTTGCTACAATGCGTGTATCATGTCACATGTGTTGTTGTGATGAGATAAACGTAAGAAACGCAATAGAATCCTTACCACCTACGAGTACAGAACCTACACATATCCATACTAAAGATTCTAGCTATATTTATCCTAAGTATAGATTATCTGAAGTCACTTGAAATAGCATAAAAACCTTTGGTCGGCGCGTCCTTCGTAATTTCATAACGTATCATAGGCGTGCGGTCATTTATTTAGAACGATAATAATAATGTTTTTATATCACAATAAATGGATTTTATTATCTTCTTATTTTTTGATTTGGGATAAAAAATACTTATATTGGGAGTTTAATTTATGTTGACTGAAAGTTAAGAAATGGAAAAATTACAGAATTCCAACGTTTGACATAGGCAAATATTTACATAGCAGGTGGGTATATAAAAAGGTATATAAAGACTTACATTATAGGTATTTATATATCATCCTCGCCTTCGGAGCTGTCGCTAGAGTCATCTTGTAGAGGAATTACAACGGGATTTACAGGAGGCAAAACACAATACTCATTTTCTTTTTCAATAATATGCCTAGAACACTGCTTCCCTAGGTCTGTGGCAGCAATATGAGATACTGCATCTCTTATTGTGGCCAATAGCGATTCACTTAATTGAGGGGTCTGATTATGTTTTCTTACTTTTTTTTAAAGCAGCCCAGACCAACTCAATCGGGTTAAAAATGCAGTAATAGGGAGGTAGACGTAATACTTCATGGCCATTTTGCTGAAGCAGATTGTCAACAACATACTCTTTTTCAAATTTTTGTCTTTTAATAAGATCCAGTATCCAATTTGGTTGATTTTTGTGGTATTTCCATTCCCTTATCCTTCATAAAATCAATAATGTCTTGTTTTTTTGTGCCTGTATTCGGAATTTTGTTTTTCTGTCGGGAATGGTATGGCGCATTGTCCATAATAATCACTGAATTTGGGGGAATTTTTGGTATTAACTGCTGCTCTATCCACTTTTCAAATAAGTCGGAGGTCATGTCCTCATGATAGTCGGCACATGATTCTTTGATATTTTTGGGCAAGGCATTAGGTATAAATCTATTTTCACTGCCAGCATGGAGAATAATGATTCGTTTTCCACGGTTGCATGGTGCATTTAAAATGCACTTGTTGCTGTCGTCAACCCAGCCGTACTGCACAACATCATGGGTATCATACCACGTTTCATCCAGGTAAATCAGATTTCTTTTCTGCTCTCTATGGATTTTAACTTTGTGCAAAAATTCTTGGCGCAATTCAACGATTCAAGACGACTCCATAATCACCATTCTTTTATCTAATTTTTTGTATTGAAAACCCCACAGTTTTACAATACAGTGCAGTGAGTCTAAGCATTTGTAATTATAAAAATCTTCAGGATAATCTTTTAATTTATCCCGTATCATTTCCAACGTGGGCACCAAATTTTCTTTATAAAATCCGTATATTATACGACGAATATCTTCCTGAAAACCCACGTCTATTCTTTTTAGTTTTTGCCCTATGCGCTTTCTGTGGAAGGAATGGTTGACTACATCTCCCCTTTTTATAACCCGATAAATGGTAGACCGACTGATTTTTGTCAGGATACAAATTCTGTTTAAAATTTGATTTTGCGAGGAATCTGGATTTTCGTTTTTCAGACAATCATACATATTTAGGATTACTCTTTGGGTCTGTTCCTCTAAATCTTTATGAAAGAATTCTGCCTGCACAGGTTCATCAACCATCTCCTCGTGGCTTGGAGCATTTTCCCAAGGTCTCCAAAGAGCCATATTTAGGACATACAAGAACAATCAACACAACAATTAAATCAACAAGTAAACTGAGTATTCAAAAGTCAAGAACACACAAACTAATAAAATCTATGAAAAAACACGGACAGACTAAAGAAAACACGTTTATTCACCGCTACACGGCACTGGCTAAACTGTTTCAATTTTCAGTAGCCACCTGCACTTGGAGCTCTGAAATACACGCTTTCTCATTGGCTATGTCCACGCATAGGCGTGCTTTACTCCACGTTGACCGGTGAAACTGCCTTTGATCTTATACGGGGGATATTTGCTGCGAAATTTGGCGATTTTTGCAGCAACAGAGCGTGTTAAATATAGATATATAAAACGCACCCGGTATTTCACAGTGTTTCAAGTGACTTCAGATAAAGTATACATTTAAGAAAATATTATATAATATTTTATTAAATGTATATATATTAAATAAAATTATATTACTAAATTGAGAAACATACACAACGATGACTTTTTCAAGACAGTTTTGAATAATATGTTTTAGGGCAATATTTGATCATTAATTTTCTTTGATTGACACTATTTGTAACACAGGGGTCTACAGGTGTTGCATAGCATTTAAATTTGCAAATTTTTTATTGTCATTGTGTTGATGTCGATTCTGTATCTAGAGTTTTTAGTTTATCGTGCTTTCATTGATCACCGTGGATATTTTCAAAATTTAGTCATTCTTTTATACTCCCCATAGTAACAGAAATACATCATTATTCCATTTTACAGGAGCACAACACTAACTCAACCAAATGCTCCTTCGTTTCGAAATTGCGTACGTACAACACGGATCTAGGAAAAAGTGAAACAATAAAATCGCATTAGTCGACTCACCTTTGACAACATTGACGATGTATTTTCTCTTGGTCATCGCGGCGGATTCAGCACACTCATGAAAATCGAAAATAAAATATTCAACGACACAGTTTCTTCGAAAACATCACGCCGATACCGCGCTTGAACGTTTAAAACAAGTTTCAAGTTTTACAACTGACGAAAAGAGTGTTGTCCATTAGCTTACGATCATTAATAGATATGAATTAATTCAAGTATTCAAACGCACATACAACAGACATTGGTCAAAGCAATAATGACTAGTTTTCGTAAATCGCAATCACGGAAATGTACAAAGGTTCTGAAAAATGTAGGAACGGTATTGCAACTTTTAGTCCAAGCAACATAGTCAAATCGTTAAGGGAAATTATGAGAGGACAAAAAGTTAGTCGAAAAATGAACAGGGACCATAAGAGGATTTGTCGGTCTAAGTCTAAATCTCGCTTCTTGTAATATTATTACAAATAAAAAAGACGTTAATTATTACACTGAACAACAAATTTTAGTTTCTTAATTGTATCTTGTGGGAAAAGTGCACTTCTTTGTTAATTTTGGGGCGCTGAATCCAAAAATGACAAAGAATTAAAAAAATTAGTTGCGGTTTAGAAAAAAAACTTTTTATTTTTAAGGATATTTTAAAAAAAGTAACAAGATTCATATACTTATAAGAATCACTATATGCGCTGTCTTTTTGCTGTTCTTTTTTGGATCGTTTCTGGAGCATCTCTACCAAGAGTCCAACAGTAGTCTGCAAGCATGGAAGGATTCCACTTTCCCTGGTACCTTTTTTCCATTGTTGAAATATCCGTGCTCATCACTTACGGCTCCGCAATTGTCAGGAAAAAAGTCCAGGTGTGAGTGTAGGAAATGTATCTTAAGAGACATATTACAGCCCATCATTTGATACGATGACAGCATATTTTTGACAAGGGTTTTATAGTTGTCAGCTTTTCTATTTCCCAAGAAGTTAGTGACCACCAGACGGATATCATTCCAAGCAGTTTTTTCAATATCTGTTAAAATGTTTTCAAACTGTGTATCTTTCAAAATATTTCGAATCTGTGGCCCAACAAAAATACCTTCTTTAACCTTTGCCTCACTTAGTCTTGGAAATTTCTGACGCAGGTATTGAAAAGCTGACCCATCTCTATCTAATGCCTTGACAAAGTTTTTCATTAGGCCCAACTTGATATGCAGAGGTGGTAATAAAATTTTTTTCGAATCTACTAATGGCATATGCTGTACATTTTTTTGACCTGGCTCTAGGAATTGACGAACAGGCCAGTTTTGTCTGGTGTAATGAAGTGCCTTTGCCCGACTGTCCCATTCACACAAAAAACAGCAAAACTTTGTGTAACCTAGCTGCAGCCCAAGTAAAAGTGCAACAACTTTCAAATCGCCACAAATATGCCATTGGTGCTCATCGTATTTTATGCATGTCAATAGGTACTTCATATTGTCATATGATTCTTTCATGTGAACTGCATACCCTACAGGAAGAGATGGTAAAATATTTCCAATATGCATTAACACTGCCTTTAAACTCAATGTTGAACTGTCTATAAACAATCTCCATTCTTCTGGGTTATAGTTTATATTTAAAGCCGCCAGTAAGCCGTTAATGTTACTACAGAAAACCAAGTTATTCTCCATATTGAAAAATGGTTCTAAGTCTTTGTGGCGTTTACGAAAAACACATACCGAAACATCGTCTTCTAAGAAGTTCCACTGCTGTAGTCTCGATCCAAGTAACTCTGCCTTACATTTTAGAAGTTCTAAATCTCTTACAAGATCATTTAATTCTGACTGTGTTATTTAGTGCGGTTGGTGGCATGACGTGCTCGGTATAAAATCAGGATCTCTTGACGTTGATGGCATATCTTCTTCCTAACGAATCACTCGATCGCCATGATCTGATTCGTTTTCTGATTCGCAAGTGTAGGATTCTGGGGGTTTTGGAATAGGATTTTCGTGACTGTGAGGCACAGGTCTCATCGCAGATGGTATGTTTGGGTAGTTAATAACCGATTTTTTTTTCTTCGACATACCTGTGGCTTGTCCAACACAAGGTGCCATGCAAAAGTAACAATCATTGATATGATTTGTGGGCTCTCTCCAAACCATTCGGACAGCAAAGCGCATAGACCGTTTTTTGCCATTTAACCAGCTCCTCAGACTTGAAGCACCTGTATTACAGCAGATGGGGGGTGCCCACTGTTTGTTTTGATCACCTAGTTTACAAACGAAATTAAGCTGATATGCCTTTGTTATTAGTGGAGTAATAAACCGTCTCTGAGACGCAAGAGTCACATCACCACACACGTAACAAAACTGATCTGGATTGTTTACACACTTTCGAGACATCTTGCATGAACGCTGTGAGCCAACTGAGGAAAAAATAACTAATATAACACAATATAATTTACACGTATGTATAACGTAACACAATCATGCCGATTACATCATCTTTCCTTGCCGAATATAAAAATGTAGCACGTGCATTCTTGTGAATTACAGTATATTAACACTGTCACAGCAGGAACACATATAATTACCGTATCTCTAAAACTCTTTCATTCCGGTTTTAGCACATTAAAAATAGTAATATTTTGTTGATTTTATGTAGGATATTTTTTGGCTGTTGATCAGTGTTATTATTAAATATGCCAAATTTCAATATGATCGTAACTATGAGATTTTCGCATTTTTTAAATTCTCATCAAAACTTTTTGCTTCCCACGTCACTGGGCGAGACAGTATTGTAACAGCAAGAGATTTTGAAAATGGGATAGTGTTTTTGGATGTCATACAGGGTGGCCCAACGAAAAGGTCGCAATCCATTCTCTTGGTATATTTTGGGAAAAACGCTTGAACACGTCAGTTTTGATTTCTAGTGGGACGTCTTTTCATCTATAGTCGTTCAATAGAGGGTGATACAAAAATGAGATATTGCGTTACAGTATAGATTTCTAAATGGAAACCCCCAAATTTTTAATTTTCAGATTTTGCTTGAAGCTTTTTGCAACTTTTGTGTAATAAAGTTTATACCTTTCTTCAATCGTTGTGAAGCTATTTTGAATTTATAAAAATCTAAACAGATAGTATATCACACAAATTATAGTCAGTCAGTGTTATTTTGTTTGAGAGTGCTGGAGAAAAGTAAGTACATTATTTTTTATTAAATTTTAGTTTTGTACTCGTAGTTAGCAAAGATAGATAAATTACGCCAATCATGACTTTAGTGATTATTAGTTAAATATTTAATCATGCAAGATTACACGAGTACTCCTCAATAGTTTCTTTTTGAAAGTTTTAGCAATCGGAAATATAATTACAGTGCAATCTCCGTAATTCGAGGTAATTGTTGCAAGAAGATGTTCGAATTATGGAATGTTTTCGGAAAAATCCAAAAATATTTTTAATATACAGCTGCTGGATTTTCTGTCTTATTTAAATAATTTAATTTTGCCCACAGATGACTGATGCCATGTCCGAATCTAAAAAGAAATGTAGACAGTACAGTGTTGATTATTTGAAATTTGGCTTCATTCCATCATTGCCGGACAAACAATCGCCTATGTGCCTTTTATGCAACAAAGTTTTGGGCAATGACGCTATGGAACCATCTAAACTGCAAGATCATCTGAGAAGATGCCACCCTGATAAAACAGAGAAAGATTTGAAATAAAGGGTGTCTCAGAAATATTTTCGTTTTTAGATCAGTCCTCTGGCGGAATACGCATGCTCCGGAGAAACGAGACAGTTGACAAACGTTTGGCAACATTGTTAAATTTTAGTTGCAATGGAGCGTTTTACAGGGCCGCAACGTGCTTTTTGTGTTCGCGAGTTCTATAAAAACAAGGATTCTTATGTGCTTGTACGTCGTTTGTACAGAAATCATTATAACATAGCAAGAATGAGAGATGTCCCAAGCGCAAATTTAATTAAATATTGGGTAAGAAAGTTCGAGAGCACTGGAAACACGTGTATTAGTAAACCGCCTGGACGGCCAAGGTCAGCAAGATCGAACGAAAATATTGAACGTGTGCGCCAGTCCGTTAACGAGGATCCCCGGCAATCATTAAGACTGCGTGGAGCGTCTCTAACTTTGCATAAGTCAACTGTTCATCGCATTATTCGCAAGGATTTGCATTTTCACCCATACAAGATTGTTGTTACACAACAATTAAAACCACAAGATCCCGCTAATCGATTAGAGTTCTGTAGAACAATGAGAGAGCATTTTAACGGTTACAACAACATATGGTTTTCTGATGAATCGAATTTTCACATTAACGGGCATGTTAATAAACAAAACTGCCGATATTGGGCCGAGCAGAACCCGCAAAATCTTCATGAGACGCCATTACACTCGCCTAAAGTTATCGTCTGGGCTGCTATGTCAGGGCAAGGAATCATTGGCCCGTATTTTTTTGAAGACAATCGTGGCCAAGCTCAAACTGTAACATCTGAGCGCTACTGCCACATGATTAGGACTTTTTTAACTCCAGCTATACAGAACCATGGTGGCTACAATAGAAACACGTTTTTCCAGCAAGATGGAGCGACTTCTCATGTCACGAATGAATCCTTGGATGCTCTTCATCAGTTATTCCCAGAGAGGGTCATCAGTCGCAGAGGAGACATTAACTGGCCACCGAGAAGTCCCGATTTGACACCAGCAGATTTTTTCTTATGGGGATACCTGAAGAGTAAGGTATACACCCCACCGCCACAAGATTTGAGAGAGTTGAAGCAAAAAATAACAGATGAAATAAACGCCATTCCTCGAGCAATGCTTCGGAGAGTGATCGAAAACTTCAGTTCGAGATTAAGAGAGTGTGAAAACATGAGCGGTGCTCATTTATCCGATACTCTTTTCCATAAATAAAATTAATGTTTAGGCTTTCGTTTGGTAATAAATTTATCTTTGTAAAAATATTCTAAGTATTTTTATTTATGGCATAAAATAAGAAAATATTTATGAGACACCCTTTACTTTCAAACACTCAAAGATAAATTTAAGAAGAGACCTACACTGGACAGAATGTTCACTTCGATGTCACAAAGAAATGATGATGGTTTGCGGGCGTCTTACAATATCTCGTTACTTATAGCAAAATCCGGAAAACCGCATACTATCGGAGAGAAGTTAATTTTGCCAGCCGTTGAAGAGGTTTTAAAAACTGTTTTACACAAACCTGCATCTGATATCATTAAAAGAATTCCCTTAAGCAACAATACTGTTGAAAGACGTATTGATGAAATGAGTTCTGATATTGAAAGCTTCTTATGTAATTATTTGCAAACGACCCATTTCTCTATACAACTGGACGAGTCAACTTTACCTGATAATGCAGCATTATTATTGGCATATGTTCGTTTCATTATGAATCAAGAAATCTACGAAGAACTGCTCTTCGCAATAACTTTGATAACCGACACTAAAGGTGAATCAATATTTCATGTTTTGAAGGATTACTTCATTGAAAAAGCAATTCCTTTATCAAATATAATATCAGCAGCTACAGATGGAGCACCTGCCATGTTTGGACGTTATTATGGATTTATAAGCTATTTAAAACAAAATGTGTCAGGGGTGTTAGCAATACATTGTGTCATCCATCGACAACATTTAGTTGCTAAAAATTTGAGTGTTAGATTGCATGAATCACTTCATTAAGTCATTGATGCAGTAAACCGAATCCGTAGCAACGCATTGAATACGCGGTTATTTGCGCAGTTGTGTGAAGAAAATGACGAACACTTTCATCAATTACTCCTTCACACTGAAGTACGCTGACTGTCGAAAGGATTATGTTTGACAAGATTTTTTGCACTTTTTGAGACTATTTTACAATTACTAGATACTAAAGATCAAATTTTAAAAGAAAATTTAATGAAAAGGAAAACAGACATCGCCTATTTAACAGATTTGTTTACAAAATTTAATAAGGTTAATTTGCAATTACAAGGCGACAGTTTAAATTTGATTAAAACAAAGTCCCATCTTATCAGCGTTTCTTGCCAGAGTTAAACTAATGAAGCAAAATATTGGACGGGGCGAATTTTCTCGGTTCCCTAATTTGTCACAGACAAGCTGCCAGGAAGACGGCGTTTCAACTTACGTTCAACATTTAAATGCCCTCTATTCAGATTTTGAATCTAGGTTTGAGGATAGTTTGACTGTGGTAATACCACCGTGGATAATTTATCCATATGGTGACATAGAAGAAACGAATGTCATAATACAAGAGGAACTGACTGAACTAAGTACAAACGAAGAACTTAAGGTTCAGTTTAAAAACGGATATCAGCAATTCTGGCTGCAAAACAACATACCCGTTACTTATCCCGTATTATGGAATATAACGAGGAAATTTTTCATTTCCTAATGAAAAAAAGAAACAGACTGGACATCATTAGCCGAGGAGATTTAAGATTAACCCTTACAAAATTGACGCCAAATGTTGATAATTTATTATTAAAGGATCAGGTTCATCCTTCTCACTAAAAATATTGACTTATTGCTTATGTTATTTTATTTATAGTTTATTTTATGTTTATTGGTGTCTGACCAATAAATGCCCGCATTGATAATAAGTGCCCGCATTGATTTTTTTAAAGAACCCCCCTTTATAGAAAATATTTTTTTTTAATTATTCTGAAATTTCAATGATAGGTACACACTAAAATTCGTTAATTTTTTGCCTATTTTTAGATAACTTTAACGTATAAGAAGCGGAATTTAATCAAACTAACAGTGAACGAACTCGCTTATTGTACTATTTTAAGTAAAAAACTTTTTTTTTATTATTTTTCCTTTTTTTTTATTTTATCCCTCTTATTTTTTTTCAATGCGGGCACTTATTGGTCAGACACCTGTTCATTTAATGTTACGTATATTTTACATAACAGATACAAAACTTTATTTTGAGTAGTTTTAATTTAAATTCAATTAATAAATGTAGATATAAATTAACATGTGTTTTTACTTTAAGGTTTTAACACTAAACTTCACTACAGTTAGAAATGTACAGGAAATCAATATCAGGTAAGTAGGGCGTCTACCCAACACGGAAAAACATGGCAAGGGGTCTACGACACAAAAAAGTTTGGGGACCTGTGTGTTAAAGGATGATCGAGATTCAGGGGGTTCCAAAATGCAATATTTTCAATTTCGCCCTGTATCTCAGAAACGAAGCGGGCTATGAAAGTTTTGTTTATACCATTGTTTTTAAGCTTTATACCATGTTTCGTCTAATTGAGGTGGACTAACATTGGAAGCATCATTCAGAAAACGGCGTCGATTGGCATCGAAAAACATTCACCCAAACACTGTTATAAACCGCCAAGACTGTTAGGTTGACACACATGTTCATTCAATAACTTACAATAAAGTCCCTTGGGGGAAGCCCATCCGAAACCGTATGCATTTCAGCGCGTAGTACCAGCCAGGGAAGTATCCTGATTGTTATTCCAGTGACGCAAGTGTCGCGTCGATGTCGCATGCAAGCGATGTGCCGGAAACAGATTGGGACGTGGGCAGTTTATGGCACTGCGGTCAAAATGGCCGCCATCAACGGACGCACCGCTTAGGCATTTTAATCGGGACCCGTCACGATGAAAAAAGTGCCGTTTGAAAAGCATTTCCATTTTAATTCTTAATAAGCGATGATTTATTGTGCTGAGGCAGCCGCAAAAGCAAAACGCGGAGTACCGTGATTTTTTAACTGTATGGTGGAAATCGGGATAACAAACTCGGATAATCTGAACACTCTGGGAACTAAGGATCTATCTATCTATCCATCTATCAAATTGTCGTTTTTTTATATGTTTTTCGAGATATAACGTAGGGTTTTCTATACTAAGTGACATATAGATCCAAACACAAAGTTTAAATGGTTTTATTTTAATAAAATTTTGTATAAGTACTTAATGAAGCATAATAAGTAAATAATAAAAATTTCAAAATGATTGCACTGCTTTAAAGCCCTTTGACCTTTAACAATGTGTGGATGCACCCTGATGTGCTACGCATTCTCCAACGCGCCTAGGCATGCTTCTGATCAGGTGGTCCATGTCCTCCTGTGGTATCTGATTCCAGGCAACCACCAACTCCTCTCGAAGTGCTTCTAGAGTCTGAGGAGGACGTTGCAAATTGAGCAATCTCCTACTCATCATATCCCACACGCTCAATTGGGGATAAGTCGGGAGATCTTGGTGGCCATGGTAACAATGTGACATCATTATGTTGAAAGAAGTCTATTGTGACTCTTGCAACATGTGGTCGGGCATTATCTTGTTGGAAAGTTGGATCTGCCAGGGTGTCAAGATATGGAGTTCTAGAACTTCGTGGATATAACGCTGCGCGTTCATGTTACCTCTGATGAAGATTAAAGGTGACCTGGAAAAATAAGCTATAGCACTCCAAACCATAACTGCAACAGTGTGATGAACATGTCTTTCAACAAAAAACTGTGGATTCCTCCTTTCACCACGTCACCTTCTAACCCTGGCACGACCATCGTGCATGCCTAAACAAAATCGAGACTCGTCACTAAAGACAATACTGTTCCATTCCTGATCCCAGAGTGACCGTTGTCTGCACCACTCAAGGCGATTACGTCGGTGTTCTCGAGTTAAAGGGAGGACCCAGTGTGGCCGGTATGAAAACAAGCCAAAACTTCTCATTCGTCGGTAAACACTTCGCATGCCAATAGGTCTTCCGTGTTCTGCAAACCATTCATTTGCAATGGACCTGGTAGTGGAGAAACGGTCCCTTAAGGCCAATAATCTTAGGCGGCGATCTTCACGGTCTGTTGTTCTACGGCGGCGTCCAGTGCTCCTTGCTCTTTGCGTACGGCCTTCTCGAAGCCATGCCTGACAACACCTAACCACAGTGTCTACACTTCTTTGCACTCTAACTGCAATTGCCCGAAAAGAAAGTTCAGCTTCCCGAAGTTCCACTATACGACCTCTATCAAACTCACTAAGTTGACGAAATCGTACAGGTCTCCGTACTCTAGGCATCGTAACCGATCGTAAAGGATGTCAAGAACCAAAATCCGCCAACGTTGATTCTTTACTGAGGCTGAAATATTCATTTTTAGAGCGTTAGTGAATTAAAAAAAAACAGTATAAAAACCGGAATGTCCAACTGATAATGCTGAAATTTTTTTCACTTATTATTTACAGTAAGATAAATACATTCACCGACTTTTATTAAAATAAAACCATTTAAACTGGGTGTTCGGATTTATATGTCACTTAGTATACTTGGATTTCTGCTTAAAGTAGCTGAACCTACCAGTTTGTCTACAAAGTAAGAAGCACGTAGACCAGAATGCAGTTTTGTATAGACACAGAAAGTGGTTAAACTGCAAACTGGAGAAATACTTTCCAGAGCTAATGAAAATAGTTGCAAGAAGGATAAATAGCCAGCGCTAATTTCGTAAAGTAAACGTTTTTCATATTTACATTTTAGAAGAGAATATTCAGTTTCCAAACGTTAGGTAGCCTAGCATTTACGGCTTGTCTATTCAATACCAAAGATCCAACCTACCATATCAGAATTAATCAAACAACCTGCTTCTGCCTGAATATTGAAATTTGAAGGAAATATTTTGCTTTTGAAAAGCGTGGATATATATTACAAATAAAGATGTAATCTGCTTTGAAAATCACACTATATTGAGAATTTAATTAAACCTGCACGTCATCAACAGCAATAGCCCACCGCCACTGGAGACAACTCAATCAAGCCACGCGCCTCTATAGAATGCGGTTCCTTTTATCTATAATTTATTGCTCGGACATTACCTTTCAGTATCAGTAATGCTTTTTAGACTGTCTTCGGCGCTAATACAACGTTGCAGTTCAGTATTTTTGGAGGCCAGAAGATGAAAGAGGTATGTGCAACTTCGATTGCATATTTTTGTACATGTTTTCTTGAGAAATCTGTTTGAGTGGGTAAAATTATTGTGTCTCACTGTTAAAAGGTAAGTTTGTCTATATACAAACTTCAGTTACCATATTTATTTAATTTACTTAATTGTTGATTGAGTGGAGAAGCATTCATCGATCGACCATTGGGACTTTTTTACCACATCACAATCAAGCCAACGTGGCGAAATAATTTTGAAACGACGAACTTTAAGTACCTAATATTGATTTCAAATGTATTTAAAATTACTATTATAATGTCAACCTGCCTACAAAAAGATAAATCTCCCGGTGGCCAATATATTGTTGAATACATTACGTTAGATAAAACAATGGGCATATAATTAGTAATTACATGTAGGTACTTTGCTTATTTATTTATTACTTATTTGTTTTATTGTTATAGGTGCAAAATGGCAGCGAAAAAAGAGTGTTTTCAGAAGACTACGTTAAGTTTGGCTTCCAAAACATTGCCACAGAAATTATGCAAGACTTTGAAATAGTCTATAAGGATTGTAAACTACATCAAGATCAGCACTTTGAACAGTCGGTTATTTACTTTACTTTGCGAGGATCTCGATTCCGATCACAAAGTTCTCCTGTTCCATACAGAAGTACGCTGGCTGTCCAAAGGCAACATGTTAGCTCGCTCGCCTTTATGAATTGAAAGAAGAGGAAATTCTTTTTCTTCAGTTCAAAGAAAAACACGATTTCCTGACAGTGTTCAAAGATGACACATTTCAGTCGAGGTTGGCTCATTTAACTGACATATTTGACTTCTTGAATGAGCTAAACTTGAAACTTCAGAGCAGAAACAACACTATAATAAGCAATTATGATTATATTCAGGGGTTCATATCAATGGTTCAACTTTGGAATCAAAAAGTTTCTTCCGAAAATGTTATATCTTTTTCTTCGCTGTTCGAGGCAATTAAAAATAACTTACTGGACGCAAATTTAAAAGCTGACATAAAAACTCATTTGCAAGCGCTACTATCGAGACATCAATTCAGAGTCATCAATAGGACACATGACAAGAAATCCATTTGAGGTCGATGCGTTACAATTACCAGAAGAAGATCAGGAAGAATTTCTGGAAATGAAGGCTGATTCGTCCATGAAATATGACATATCTTTTAACATTGGAGAAATTTTGGATCAAAAGATTGTCTGTTGATTCGACACTTGCCTCTCTTGCTTTACGAATACTAGTTCCTTCTTCTTCAAATTCCTTATGTGAGACAGGCTTCTCTGCTCTAGTTTTAATTAAGACTAAACTGCGAAATCGTCTTGATGTCGATAGCGACTTGATGATAGCTCTGGCAAAAATAGAAAACAGAATCAACCAACTGGTACAGAACGCGCAATCTCAAGTGTCTCACTAGTACCTAATCTCATTTTATTTAAGTTT